TAAAAATGAATCAAAATAAAAAGTAGATAAATCAAAAAAAAATATATTGTGAGAGTACAGGGGCTCAGTCAAAACTACGGTCGTGGTATTTAAATCTTTTATTTATTTGTTTTTTAATATAARATATGTATATATAATTTAATATAGTTTTAAATAAACTAATAATATTCAGATTCATGCATCGTCTTAAATTAATAGCGTTAATTATGGTGGTACAAAGTTGCTTGAATAATGGATGGTGACGGATTAGGACCCCATATGATTTACCCTTTTTTAAGTGGGACCCAATATTTTAATTTGTTTGCAAATTTGGAATTTACAGGTAAGAATTAACAAATATCCTCCTTTAAAGTACGACAGGGGATACAAAAAGTTTTTTCAATTATCTTTTTTTTTTTTTTGAGTTTAGTTCCTAACCATGAGTTTAATTTGAAAATAGAAATTTGAAAACAAAGGATTTAACAATAATAGAGTCATATTATATGTTTTAGTATTTTCGAATATGAAATCGTCRATTTTGCTCTCACACGCTAAATTTTGCTTTGTTTAGTCATAGCTTTAACGTACTAGGCTGAAATAACAAGTATTTCCATTTAAAGTTTTAGGGGATACAAATTTTTTTTTTCTAATTACTGTTTTTTCGATTTAGTCTCTAAACTTTTTAAAAAAATACACGTTTAATTTATGATTTTGATTTAAATGTTTTTTTTGCCAAAAATGATATTGATTTAAGAAAATTTAGAAATTATGTTTCACGGTGGATCTATGGACATTTAAAACTAGTGATTGTTGCTAAATTAACTTTACATCCATATAGTTCAAAGATATCAAACTATTATAAATCTTGGAACTTGTGATATCGTATCTAATAGGTCACTGTCTCACTGAGATATATAATAAGTGCGTTAAATTTTGGTTTTGTGTCCAATAAATGTATAAACTTTGAAAAATGCATTTAAYAGTTTAGGAACATTCTTTTAAGGCGGTTAGAAATACTCATTAGACACAAAATTAAAAATTAATGKACTTATTGCATACAAATTGAAAGTTACGAGACCTTTCATATATTTTYTAGCCCTCAATATCCATGGATAATTTAACCAATTAGCTATGTTTTGTCACTGGACTTTATATAATTGACATTTGGATTAACACATGTTGAATTGTTGATAGGTATTATTGGAGTTATAAGCCACTTGGCATGTCGTTTGAAACCACATGATCATGAGCAAAAATGATTGACATGGAAAGCACATCAAATGTGTTTTTTTTTTCTCCTTTGTTGATTTATTTCTTTAAAGCCCCAATAAAAAGGAGAAAATAACTTTACATTTTCTTTTATAGGACAAAAGCATTACATTTATGATTTTAGTACAATATGTGGAGATRAGGATCGAACTTATAACTCGCTTTGGTAAAAGCTTTACATTTGTTAAGCCTACGAAACACGTATTTAATTGTATGTAATTTAAACACGAACAAATTAAAACGAATAAGTGTTCTACCATGCTTTTGTTAACCTTCRTTTATAAATTGTTTAGGCTATGTTATAAATTTGGTTCATGTTTATCTTTTTAATAAGTTCCTATTGTTGAYTAGATTATTTTAGTGTTCACGTGATATATTATGGATTATTGTAGGGATCCCATATTCAAAAGAAAATAAACTTTACATAGGTTTATAATAGACATAAGATGGAWMTCATGAATATTAATATGACATTATAACTYAAAAGCTCAGACAAACATTTGGTAAAGAAAAAAAAAGGATATATCAAAGATCGATCAGCCAAAAGAACCACGATCTTGATGAGACATGTTAAGGATCTCACATGAACCCATGAATATTAATAATTATGTGGTAGTTTGATTTCGAGTAGGTTTAGACATTCGGTGATACAAGTGTTAAACTTTTTTTTTCTTCCTAGATTATCGTAAGCTTTAAACTTAAAGAGTTAATAGTTGACTATTAGACATAAAGTTGAAAGTTTAATAATTTAAGGTTAAAATTATTAACGGGTAAATAGATATAGTCCTAAACAAAATCTATTATAAATTTTTTGAATCATTGGAACTTAATAAGCATATCATTTTTATATATTTAATTACTTAAAAATATTAAATATTTTTCAAAAAACTAATTATTTATCTAGTATAAATAATAGTTGTGTGAATAAAAATATAAAATATAAAAATAAAATAATTACTTTTTACTAAAAACAATTAAAAATTAATCTTAGAGGGAATTTCCCACTGTGATTTAGCGTTCCTCACTCTCAAAAGAATGCTGTTTTTGGGCCTTAAGTTGAGCTAGTCCAACTTCTAATAACATGATCCATGGGCTTCACTCATTGTATTGGGCTTGAGTTGGCCCATTAAAAAATTACAAAGGACATTTTTTTTAAATGGACTATCTTCTTCTCCAATTCGATTTTTTAGATCTACTCCCTCCCCGTAAGAGATTTTTTCAAACTTTTCAAAAGAAAATTATTTTGCACCAAGAGAGGCAAAAATTTAAGTAAAATTGGAGTGAAAATAGTTTTAAATTTTTTATGAAGGATATTTTTTTTAAGAACCCATGCCAGAAGAGTAGAAATTAACGCCTTACCAACCAGACCACCATTATCTTTTTTTTTTTCTATATCTCTCTAAAAATCTTACACTGCGCCCCACTTTTTATGGCCAAAGAAACCCTTGTTCAAAATTGCTCTTGCTCTTGGTGTTATTGCTCTCTCTCGGTGATTTCGCTCTCGATCATGCTGTTCTCGGTCTCGGTCTCGCTCTCACTCCTGCTGTTCTCGGTCTCGGTCTCGCTCTCACTCCTGCAGGAGGAAAATCATGGACGACAGTTTAAAATGAAAAAAGAATAAGAAGTAGCTGAAGAAGCGAGGAGAGAAAAATAAAGAAATTTATGGTTTTTTTTTTTGAAAAAAATAGAGAAGAATTTTGAGTTTTTTCTATCGTGATTAAAGAAGAGAGAGAAAATGTGTTTTGAGCTTTTTTATGGTATGTATTTATTGTATTTTTGTCTTTGTATCTCTCATTTTTGTTTTTCTCTTTCTAATCTACGGATTCCCTTCCTTTTCTAGCTCTCTCTTTCTTGTTTCTTTCTCTCTCTCACACGAGCCTATTACAAAGACATCTGCAAATTGAATTTAATCTCACAATGACATCAAAGAAGAAGAAAATCTTTTAGAGAGAAAAAAAAAAGAAGGAAAATAAAATAGAGAAATAATGAGTTAATGAAAAAAATAGAGATAAAAATGATAAAATATTTTATGGGAAAAGAGAGAAGAAAGATGAAAAATAATGGAAAGGAGGAGGGGGAAGAAAGAGAATATAATACAAGAAGAAAAGTGAGAAGGGATATGTATAATTTCATATAAAAATTACATAAGAGTTTAAGAGTTTAAGAAACATTAAATATGAGGACAAAAATCGTTTTTTCCTTCTAAAAATGGTTAGTCGACCCAAATTCTCGCTAAGAAATAGTGAAACAAAGTTTGAATTTTGAATTTTTTGTAGAAAATATAATCATACTATATAACATTAATTAAAACGTTATTTCTAAAACTCAAAATTAAAAATCATAATATGTAATTGCATGTCATATATTATATATATTGTTTAGACCCACTTCACCTTATATTTAACATAAAACATAAATTATCATTACATTTGTCATTATTATAATCGACTGCAATCCATAAACAAATATTCATCACATGCTTCACAGCTGACATAAGTGAAACTAGAAAATTACGATCTCATTCACCTTTTCTGATACTACATAAATGTAATTGTTATTGTTAAGCATTTTGATCCGACATGATAAGAGAATTTTGACCCGACACCGTTGAGCATTAATGACAAAATTGTTATAATAAATAAATAGGATTGGAAGTTTTAGAAAATCCAAATAATTAATTAGATTCTTCACATGAATAAATATTGTGGTGAACTAAAACACCAATGTTTACTATCATTATTTTTCAAAAATCAAATGATAATGACTAGAAAACGATTTAGTTTTCTCAATATTTTATTAGTTAATATAATTTGCTTATTATTATTATGGATTTATATTTATTTCTTAATAATAAAAAACTATTGCTACTTAGGAAGCAATAAATATATAAATAAATTTTCATGAAAAGACAAATATATAAAATAAAATGAAATAGTACAAAAGTTATTTTTTCTAAAAAAAAAAATTTGATAAATAGGTTATAGTTTAAATAAATAGCAAAAAAAAGTTTAGAATTTTGAACTTAACATTAGTCAAAAACTTATTTTTAAAACTCAAAATAAAAAATCGTAATTGCTTACCATATATTAACTATATTGTTCAGACACACTTTACCTTATATTTAAGATGAAACATAAATTGTCGTAACATTTGTCATTATTACGATCGAGGGCAATCTGTAAACATATTTTTGTCACGCGCTTCACAGCTGACATAAGTGAAGTTAAGAAATTTTAATACAATTCACCTTTTTCGAGACTACATAAATGTAACTGTCACCGTTAAGCATTCTAACTCGACATGATAAGAATACTTTGACCCGATACCGTTAAGCATTAATGACAAAATCGTCATCACGAATAAATAGAATGGGAAGTTATAGAAAATCCAAGTAATTAACTTAGATTTTTAACATGATTAGAGATTGTGGTGGACTAAAACACCAATTATTACTATCATTATTTTTCAAAAATTAAAAAGTAATAGAAAAAAAATTCCAAGATTAATATTTTATAAAAGGCAAGGTTTAAGAACAAGCCAATAAAGGCACAAGGAAGTCATGATCAGCTACTCACGCACGAAGAGGAAGTAGGATGCAACCATAAGGAAACGAAACGTGGCACTTCTCGATTGGATTTTACGCGAGCAACACGGTAAGAGGATGGAATCACGGTGTGAGTGAGAACAGGGGAAAGTTTCTCTCCAGTCGTTGTAATAAAAATAAATCGAAAATGGAGAAAAAGGGAAATAAAATGGAAAACGAGCAAGAAGACTAGAAGACTTGTCGAGTTCTCTCTCTCTCTATGCGGAGCTCATAGCCAATTTCCTCCTCTCACTTTCTTCTTCGTCTTCTTACTCGACTTGGGTTTTTTTCTTCTTCTTCTGTTCAGTTCTTTTCGATTCGATCTGTTTTCTGCTACTTCAATTGGCGATGAGGACTTGACACATCGGAATCGCCGTGTTTTGACCTCTTGATCGAGGTACCTTTTTGACTCTACTTCGTAAATTGGGTCTCCCTCTTCGATTTTGGGATGTTTTGTTTATGGTAGCCTGTGCTGATGTTTAATACATGAGATTGAGCTTTAGTTTATGGCAATTTTATGCTAATTTTGGTGCTCACATGTTCTTCCCTCGAGCCGTTACAGAAGTCTTCGAAATAGTATTTGGCTTTTTTTTTAAAAAATATTTTTTTTCCTGTTTGGGTCTGGTTTCTGTTGGGGTTTTGACTTAATTGTGTTAGATTTTTCAGCTAGTGTTATGAATCTTTCGATTTTTGTAATGGGTGGAAATTTACACGGATGTTTTTGGATGAACTTTTTGAAGTTGGGGGTTATGCTGAAAGGGGTTTTGTTTTGTTGCATGGTTTTTTCCTTTTTTTGCTTGCTTAAGTTTCACGGAGGTCTGTACTAGAGTTGTTTGCTTTTTGTATTTCAGTTTTTTTTCACTGCGCTACGTGTTATTTTATTTGATAAGACTGTAAAACAAATACTTGTTTTTACTCAAGAATGCTCTTTTCTCTCTATTTGCTTATTGGTTTCAGATTCTATTAGGCGGCTGCCAACCTAGTATCGGTGATGCTAAAGATATAGAGGGAATTAAAGGGCTTCTCTTTTCAGTGGAAAAATGTTGGAGGGTGGTCAAAAATTCACTGGAATGATCGATTTAAACGAGCATGCATATGATCTATCGCAAGGGTTTTACCATAAACTTGGTGAGGGAACCAACATGTCTATTGACAGCTTTGCAAGCTTGCAAACAAGCAATGATGGAGGGTCGGTTGCCATGTCTTTAGATAACAGCAGTGTAGGATCAAATGAATCCCATACTCGCATCCTAAATCACCAAGGCTTGCGACGGCGTGCAAACGACAATTATACTGTTCAGCAGAGCATTAACCGTCGTGGAAGAGTTACACATCACCTGAGTGATGATGCACTAGCCCGAGCCCTATTTGATAGTAATACACCCACCCAGGGTCTTGAAAATTTCGAGAAGTGGACTCTTGATTTAAGGAAACTTAATATGGGAGAGGCTTTTGCTCAAGGTGCTTTTGGAAAACTCTACAGAGGTACTTATGATGGCGAAGATGTTGCTATCAAGATCTTGGAGAGGCCAGAGAATGACCTGGAAAAGGCTCAGTTAATGGAGCAACAATATCAGCAGGAGGTGATGATGCTTGCTACTTTGAAGCATCCAAATATTGTCCGGTTTATTGGCTCATGTCATAAGCCGATGGTTTGGTGCATTGTTACCGAATATGCAAAGGGTGGTTCGGTCAGGCAGTTCTTAATGAAGCGACAAAGTCGCTCTGTCCCTCTGAAATTAGCTGTCAAGCAAGCTTTGGATGTTGCCAGGGGGATGGAATATGTTCACGGCCTTGGGTTGATCCACAGGGACCTGAAATCGGACAACCTTTTGATTTTTGGAGATAAGTCTATCAAGGTTGCTGACTTTGGGGTGGCCCGAATTGAGGTGCAGACAGAGGGAATGACACCCGAGACGGGAACCTACCGCTGGATGGCTCCGTAAGTCTTTTGACACTTGGATATTGTTTACTGTTATGATTGTCACCTTTTCCAAATATTTTCTGCATGCTTGTTTGTGGCATTTATTTATTTATTTTCTGGGACTGAGCAGCTTCATCATTATTAAGGAACTACAAAGAAGATTGGCCAATAAAGTCAACTAGAAAATAAAATGTCCATGCAAAATATTCAAGGTTCCAAAAAACTCCACCCTCTGCCTTTAGGTTGTTTTTTACCCCTTTTTCTTGTTTCAAAAGGGAGGCTTTTGAATATGGTTCCTGTTTCTTATAAAAAAAGAAGGTTCCAAAAAACTCCAAAGGCCTTTCATGTATAAATCCATGGTTATTTTATTATTTTAGAGCTATAAAAGAAAAAGAGGAAACTTTTGTTTGTTGTTGTTGTTGTTTTTTTTTTTTCCTTGATGGAAGCAAAAGGAGGTTCTATTCCCTGTTTGTGGTGCGGAAATTTTGAAACCAGATTTTCTTGCACTATTTTCGGTGTTCTACCAGATTCCCAGGCACTTTCCCAAGCTTATGTGTCTTTTTTAACAGTGGTTTGTTTAATGTGATGACATTTCTTTCTCTATTTTATCCTATTTCTGATTTTGATTTCATATGTAATTTTCTGCTACTTTTCATTCATCAATGGAAAGTTCGTTTTGTGTTAAAAAAAAGTATAATCAAGATTTATTTTACTGGATGAAACTTTATCTTAAGAAGGCAGTGCAAGTGAAGGAATTGGAAATTTTGCTAAAATAGTATCCACTAGCTATATTTAGCGGATACTTGGTTTCAAAGTCTTAATTGAATCACTTTGTCGCTTTTGTTGGTTTTATTGAATTTTTTTTTTTCCTTCTGGGTCTTGGTAAAGATCCGTTGGGTAATTTCGTCCTGCTTATCGTCACTTGCAGTTACAGATTACAGTTTAGGTTTTTCCTTTTGCATCCAAATGTAAATGTTAAATAATCTTTCAATTGAGATCACATGTCTCCCGTAAGGCAGCATAACTCCGTTGCATTTTTTGACAATGTTAAATTATAGCTTCAACACACACATGCATGCACATGCATGTACGTATAGCTATACACATACATACATACTTATACGTACATACACATACATACATATATACACGAATGTACATACATATACATACACACGCATTTATTTCTGCAGATGTGTGGCCCGTATGGTTTTTTTGGCGATTCCAGTCACCACTCTGTAGATGTAGAACTACTGAAGAGATTAGGATTGTTAAGCCAGTTTGTTTCTCTCCATTTTCTCTCTCTTTTGGATGGAGAAAATATTCGGTCTTTTTTGTTGGGAATGTTGACATGTTCAAAACCTGGTTTCTATCCACATAGTTTGAGTGCATAAATCATACATATTTTTTAACTGTGATTCGGTCTCTTGCCATGCTTAACTATTTTTGCTGATAATAGAATACCTCTCTTCGACTTGAGAGAAATAATAGAATTTTTAGGGGTCCAAGAGGACATGAGTGGAGGTTTTGAGATATTATTAGATTTAATACCTCCCTTTTTGGGCATTGGTTTCTGAGCCTTTTTGTAATTATTTATTAGGTGCTATTCTTTTTGATTGGAACCCTTTTCTGTAGGCTTCGGTTTCTCTTAGTAGATAGTTTTGGTTTGCCCTCGTCTGTTCTTTCATCTGATTAATGAAAGCTGGGTTTCTCTCACGTTTATATTAAGTCTCTCACCCTAACATTTAGCTTCTCCTCATTGCTGGACATTTGGTTTTGATTTCTTGGGTAATTTGTTGCTCCCGTGGGGGAGGGACGTAGCACATAAAATGATTGCCATCTTATAGGATCACAAAATGTAAGGTCTTTGATTTTGATTTTGGATGGGGAATATACTTTGGCACTGGCTAAGTTACTGGTCAGTGGGGGCCTAGAGATGCGTTTTTGACAAATGTGCCCATTCCAAATGAATGGGGTTGTATGATATTTCTTCTACACCATTTGTTTATGTAGGTGGATGATCATGATTACAAGTATGCCAGTGATTTAAATTCAGATGCCGGTTTAAACTGTTGGTTATAATTAAAATTTAGTCTTAATTATTGTTTTATTTCATAGGATTTAATTTTATTATTATTATTATTTTTAATAATTTCATGCCAAATTGTTTCCTATTAAAAAAAATAATTTCATAGGATTTTTGCGAAAGATCCATCATTACTGTAAGAGGTTGTCAAATTTTTTTGAAATCTTTGAAACATATCACTAGTAGATCTTTTATCTCAGCTTATGTTCACGTTTAAAAGGTGCTAGGTGAGGTTCAAGGTGACCTAGAAAAATGTCACTTGAGTGAATTGAGCTGTACTTTAACAAATAAATAAGTAATTATATTTTGTGACAAATTATAAAGAGATGTAGCCATGAAACGTATAAGCATTTAATGCCAATATTTAAAACATGAAAATGTGATATTTTCAGAGCAAGAAATAGGGAGTGGGCTGCTTTGTATAATCTTCTTATGGTTGTCACTTTAAGAGAGAAGAATGACTGTAAGGTTTGGAACCTCGAGCAAGATGAGTATTCTCCGTGGAATTGTTGATGATTAAGCTAAGTGCCAGATTAGAGTGTCTAATTCCTACTTTTATCAAAATTATCTGGAAATCTAGAATCCCCAAAGACGTGAGTTAATTTTTTTATTTTTTATTTTTTGTGTGGCTCTCTGGGCTTAAAAAGCTCAACACTTGCGACAGATTACAGAAAAGGATGTCCAGGGTTTCGTTGTTTCCAAGTTGGTGCATTATGTGCAGAAAAGATGTGGAAAACAGCTTGCACCTATTATTCCTATGCCCTTTGGTTGTTGGAGTTCTCTCTTTAATACCTCCAATGCTCTTTGGGTCCTTTCTAAAACATGTTCAGATGCCCTTCTCCAGTTGGTTTAAGAGACTTTCAGTGGTAAGGTTGGGCCCTTTGGTTCAATCCGGTGGTGGCTATCATCTGGAATTGCGGGCTGAGAGGAGTAAAAGAATATTTCAAGGAGAAGATATTTCCTACAAGACCTTTTGGGACTTAGTGAGGGAGCACTCTTCTTTATTGAGCACATTACACAAAGATTTCTGTAATTATGATTTTGTGCAAGTTTTTCCAATTGGGAGTTTTTCCAACCTTGGCTTATTGGGATAGTTCATCTCCCATTTTTTAGATCTTTCTTTTAGATTTACAAGTCTTTTTTCCTAAAAAAAAATGAAAATGTCGGGAAAAGGTATAAACAAAACATCTTTGTGGAATTATGTCATCGACATATAACAAAAAGGAAGAGAAAAAAACATTAGAAGCCAAGGTTGTCATTGGAACTATTTTCTTGAGTTGCCAGTTTGCATCCTCAGTTCGGAACTGATTATTTATTTTTTTATTTTTTTTAAGGCCTTTGGTGTTTGTTTGGCTTGTTAGAGGGAGTGGAGGTTTATAGTGGTGGAGGTTCTTCATCTATGTTTTGTGATGAGAGTTGTTTTTTGTGGTGTGCTGTCTTTTTTGCTGCTTTGGAATGAGAGAAACAGGACTTTTAGAGTCCAAAGAAACAATATTTTTAGAGGGGTTGAAAGTTTGATCTCTTGCTAGGTTTCTTGTCTCTTTTTGGGCTTCTATGTCCAAAGCTTCTTGTAATTACCCTTTAGGTCTGATTTTGTTGGTCTCCTTTTGTTTTAGTTTGACTCTATTTTTGTTGGACCGTGTTTTTGGATGCTCCTTTGTATTCTCTCATTCTTAAGGTTGGCTTTTCATCTGAAAAAGAGGTCGTTATTGGGAAAACTAAGAGAGAAGAGAATTAAAAAGAACAACCCGGGAAGTGGAAGACAATTCAAATAGGAAAAGGGCCCATTCAAAAGGAAAAACAGAGAAATCATAGACCTCTGAATAATACAAAAAATGAAATAAATATCAAGACAGGTCGAAGGGTCGAAGGAACAGATGAAAAGTTTTTTTTTTATGAGAACTGCACTTTCATCGAGAGAAATGAAAAAAGAAGATACACAAAAGGGGCATACAAAAAAACAGCCTGGCAAAGGAAACCCTTATAAGAACGGGCTCCAATCCAAAAGAATAAGACCTAACGGATAATTACAAAGGGCCTTAGTGGCCGAACCCCATAAGTAAGTATTAAACTTAATGAGGTCCCAAACAGAATCCACAGATTTCTCCACACCCCTAAACACCCTATTGTTCCTCTCCAGCCAGATACCCCATAAAGAAGCCAGAAAGCATGCTTGCCAAAGAAAGCGGCCTCTATCACGAGGAGGGGGGGGGGTGGATAACAACACTTCCTCCATCATTGCCCTGCAATCTCTGGAACGAACCCAACACCATAAATCCTGCGCAAACTGACAGGACCACAACAAATGCTCAAGATCTTCCGCGGCCTTCCTACACAGAACACACCACTGCGGGCCCAGGCAAAAGGAAGACATCCTTTGAATCCGATCCAAGGTATTGACTTTACCAAGTAAGACTTGCCATACAAGGAAGGAACAGATGAAAAGTAAATTGTTTAGGAGGCAGAAATTGATGGCCAATTGAAGAACTAGTGTTGATTTGAAGGTATAATTTGAGTGAGATTTTTTTTGATCTTTTGGATATATGGGCCAGCTTAAACCTTGATTAATGTCACAACATTGCCTGGCCTTGTTGTTTTGGAACACACAAGATGTTAACATGCTAGGTGGGTAGCCACCCTGTAATCTTCTCTCCGAACAAGGGCCTTCTTCCATTAACTTCCTTCCATTTTATGAGATCCTACTTCGGTGCGGAGGCCGCTGAGTTGATTCTTTATTTTTCTTATTGTTCATCATACTGGAGGTTTTTGGTTCCTTAGGATTTAGAGATCAGAGCATTCCGACTCTCGAGTTCTTTAACATCTTTCCATTTTACGAGAACCTACTTTGGTATGGATGCTATTGAGTTGATTCTTTATTTTTCTCATTGTTCATCATACTGGAGGTTTTTTGGTTCCTTAGGATTTAGGGATAAGAGAATTGGGACTCTTGAGTCCTTTAGCGTGTTCTATTGTAAATATTGAAGGTTTAGTTTTTCTTATGGTTGGTTGCTCTCATGAGAAGAAATACTGTGGGTCTAGAAGTCCTCCCCTTTTGTGCTTTGAACTCAATGGCATGTTATTTGCAAGCAAATGTTAGAGGATCTGGGCTTTGGAGGTATCCTTTTGCCCAAAATATTAGTGACACTTTTAGGTGTTTAGGGGTAGCTTCAGCTCCTGGTGAAAGTATTTGGAAGAAGGCATTCTATACCTCTTTTTGGAGGGAAAGGTACGATTTATTTGGCAGGCAGGAGTTTGGTTCTCGTAAATTCCAATGCCTCCTTGTGGGGTTGTATGGCTAATTCATTTTGTTATATTCCATTTTTTTTGGTCGTTAACCAATGGAGTCTCCTCCTATAAGTTTTTGAGGGTCTTTTGTTACTTGAACCTGTGTCTTTTTTGGACCTAGCTATTTAGTAAACAAGCTTTACAAAATGATGGCCAAGGTTTTTTGATGCTCTATTTGAGAACCTTGTGTTGGATTGGGGCCATTTTATAGAACCTTTTGAGGGATTGGAAGGAGATGCCTCATCTCATTGTCTTCGTGTGTACTTTTTGTGGTAATGAAATGCCTTGTGTCCCTTATAAAAAAATCATGGCGAAGGTCCTTTCTTCAGAATTCTTGCAACACTATGTTCCCTTATTCATATATTGATATTACATCATCATTGTTTTAGTTGCTGATAGAGTGATAGACTCGTGTTAATAACCGATGAGGAAAATATTGTGGTTGATAACAAGTTCAAAAGGCATGTTTTTTCTGGGGCAAGTTTTGCGAGCTTAGTATGACAAATTGAGGGTTGTGGGTGTGAGGATCTTTCTATTTCTATTTTTCTTGCTATATGTTCTTATTGGGGAAAGGCGGAAGGCTTTAGATGAATTTAGACTAAGGCAGACAGCAGGATTTTTTTGTGGGTATTGAGTTTGGTGCTTAGAATATTCATCGTTTGCTTAGAAATGACTCAATTTCTTCTCTCAGTTTAAGGAAAAACATCTTCTGACAATGGAGCAGTCAGGATGCTACTAATTCAAATTCTACTATCTTTGCTAGGTTCTTCTTCTTCAATTAGCCAATAGCCCCTTGGCTACTAGTATGCAAAGTTTTGGGTGGTAAGCCTAATAATTATTAGTTCTTTGGTTAGCTGGCGGAATGAGGGAAAAACCTTGAAGGGTAAAGATCAGCCGAAGAACTTTTTATATTACATTTCTTGACATTCGAGCCAATTGGACAGTTTTTTTTAAACCTCAAAAGCTATTTGACTAATAAGATACGTATGCCATTTGAAATTTCTTTGTGTGTGCAGGAAATTGATTTGTTGATATTACGAAGTGAAAAGCTTAATATTGAGTTCAATTTATGTAATTTATTCTCTTTATTATTGAGGCT